GACGTCTAAGGCAACTAATACAAAATCTAAGGTGACAAATACACGAGCTACTCGAAGGACAAGAAAGGCTGAAATTTCCGATAAAGTTTTTTTTTATTTATTGAAAGATTTTGATTACAAATTAAAATTTATTAAAAATTATAAATCAAAATACGAATTTAATTATTATAATAAAAGCTATAAAACCTGATAATATTCAAGATGATGACAGTGATTGAAGATAAGCTTCAACATCCAAAAAAAATTTCAAAGATGTATCCCAATTACAAGAAATCTCTGATAATGATTATGTATTTATTCAAGACAAAGTTCTAAATATGCAACAAAATGAATCCGATGATGATTTCAAATCTACTCTTATTTCGCTACTTTCCAAGAAAAAAACCAAAGGGGTTGATTTAAAACATGCTCTTGAATCACTACTTTCAAAAGAAAAGGCTAGAAAGGATCATTATTAAAATGGAAATGATCATGATTCAACTGATCGATCATTATTAAATGAAAAGGAACATCACCATCAAAATTTTGATTCAACTGATCGGTCATTGTTAAACAGGAAGGAATATCCCTATTCAGATTTATCTATTAGGTCAACTAACGAAAGTTATTATGAAGATGATCAATCTGATTTGAATTTTAGATCGTTACCTACTAAACGAATATCTAAAGGATTGAATATCGAAGAAAATGACCATCCAAAAAAATTACCTAACAATTTAACTACAAAAGCTTATAACTTAAAAACTTATTCTCGAGGGATTATTAATAACCAATTACAATCAAATAAATTCAAAAGCTGTTGAGAAATTATTATTGATGATCAAACACAATTGAATAGATCTAACAAGCGCCATTATGATGGTGATCGAGAGGATGTACAAGGAAATCAAATTTGTCGTCTCTTACCTAAAATGATTTCAATATTGGAGTCAACAGGAGAACACACATCTAATACGTCTAATAAAGAAATTACCGAAGTAAGTTTATATTTGATATATATATATATTTTTGTAATAGTTATTTGTTATATTTGCTATTAAATTGGCTTTAATATAGGTTACTAGTGAGCATGTCTATGATATGTGCGAGAAAATAAAGGTCTTGTTCTTTAAGAGCTGAAATCCTAGTTCTGCTGCGATTATAGCTATTGCAAAAATCCTATTACCCGATTAAGGAAAAAATAATGAAAATATCAAATTCTTAAAAGGACGTGGATTGGAATATATGGTACAACACCATTCCCGATTTAATAATGATCTTAGTTTTTATGCAGAGAAATACATGAAGATTAACAGGTATATTTTTTGAACATTAATAGGTATATTTTTTTAATTATTATGTATAAATTACAATTAAACTATCATTAAATATTACAATAGCATTTCAAGTATTAATACGATATCAAGTGAAGATGTAATATCATTATATATTACTGATGATTTTTTAAAGATATCTTCTTTACACAATTGGCCGTTATTAAAGAAGATGAATTATTTGATGATTCAACTGTTATTGCCCTTTTAAAGATATTTTTAAAACAAGCATTTATTTTGCATTTAACACATAAAGTATCCCGCTTAACCAGCCTTAATATGGATAATCATCATACATTACAACAAGTAAAAGAATTAGATCATTTAACTAATGATCTGATTATTTCAAATTTAACCCAAAATAATGCCTCTAATCAAATTGATATGTCAACAATGATACAAAGACGTCATGTACGCAGATCATGCAGATAAATGATATTTAGACATGTTTAGTGTAATACTTTTAATTATTTATATTGTAATGCATATTTGCTATAGCGGATTTTAACATGTTTAATGTAATGTTTGTGTAATGCACAGTGATAATTTTTCAAATATAAATTGTTGTATGGATGGTGCATAATTTATATATCATTTTGTGTGGCAAATTTATAAATAGTGTGCGGCTGTTACCACTGTGGCATATATGCGCCCAAATTTATAAAAGCACTGTGCGCTAATATTTAATATTAAAATTATGTTTATTTAAAAT